GTCCCCCGATTTATGTTCCCCGATATAACGTGAATTTCTGCTTGAGTTTGTGTGCGTTTGTGATCTTCTAGGCCTACTTCTAGAATTGCCTGTGTTGGTTCTACACCAAAGTGTAGGCATAGCCTTGATCTAGATACGTCTCATTTAAAAACACGCCAAGTTGGTACCGTAGCTCTAGACTAGATGCTCGTCCAATGAAATTAGTTGAGAACAAATTGACCCATGGGACACACATTATGTATAATGCTAAAGATAGTGTTGTTTTCAGACTTGACACCGCTTCACTCGGTGGCAATTGACAAAAAGTCATTTTTTGTCAAATGTCAGCGCTTCACTCGGTGGCAATTGACACTACCATATATAAATATGTTTAGCCATTTAAATTCGTTTGGCTTTTTTTCATCTTTGATCTCATCTTTTAATAACAGATTCTGTTATTTATCTATTCATTTACCTTTATATATTACTATTAGACATATATTTCCGTGTGCCTATTTGAGTGGGTGGGATAGTGAATGGATCACGTAGCCCCGTTGTGTGCAATCAATAGCTCCATGGAGGACAACATGTTTCACTTAGGAACAAGGATAATGAGCTAAAGCTTAATAGACATTTCTGCTCAGCCACAGTCGCGAGGGATTCACGAACAGCTGGGTGGCTCTCAGCTTCGAGTCTTTCACTGGTTTAGACTAGCGGTCCTTAACCTTGTGAGTCTCAAGGAGCACTTCTTGTTGCAGTTTTTTTTTGGTCTTCGATTTTTATATTTACCACGTGCCTAACTCTATGAAAAAAAATAAACATTCTTTAAAATGGGGTTACATAAATCAACTAAATAAGCAAATTACACTTTATTGATCAGTTTAGGAAAACTTGAGTTACCCAGGAATCTGTTCAGCCCACACACGGACATTTTACTACCAATAAAAAATATTGTTGATAAAGCCTCTATCGTGATATGGGAGAACTTTCTATACTCGCCTGCGTAACATCTTAGAGGATAACTTTGTTGTTTTAATACTTTGCAGGAAAAGGAAATCGTTAATCTAACCAACCTATCTTGACTTTGCGAGTAGTCTAAAATATTTACAAACTGGACAACTTTTTATAGTACAATGTAATTGAACCTTTTATCTCAAGAGAACTGTCTGGGGAAATGCGATGGCAGCGTAATGATTGTATATTTTATTCTCCATCGACGACGTAAATATCTTTAAATAGATGAGTAACTTCGACTTTGCCTACCAGAACCAAACCAAACTGTCATCGGCAACCTGTTAAAATCTACTAAGCCCAGGAAGCATATTTTTCCTTTTCTTGAGAGAGAAAAGAATCGTTTCCTTCTTTTAACAATTGTATCTACATATGTGTTTTTTCTTGCTTTTTTTAATATTTAGAATTTAAATGTCGGGAAAATATTTCTTGAACTCATGAGACCAGTGCAGTCTAGAGAATCTAGCCGGCATTGCATGCAACCGATGTTACACATTAAGAAACAAGAAACAGCAATTGAAACATCATTCTCCAAATTTCTTGCTTAGTTCATTTCAACAGTTTTGCGACGTTATGTAGAATTGGTCCCATTTGTCAACTAGAAGACAGGATGGCCTTAAAAATATCTTCCCAACAGGTGGATTGAATTTGCCTCTTTCGGCATGCAAGGCGAAGAGCCTAATCATTTCACCATAGATATTGTGACTGGTAAGGTAGCAATCGTAGAGTATGGACGATCTAAGAAGAACACCTCTGGGGTTGGACAGTAGTTTCAGCTTGAAAGATTCACTCACCTGAAGAGCCAACTCTTGATTCAAAAACATATATACTTCAGATTAAAAGGAAAAACATAAGACATAGCAACGTACTTTGGCTGGGCTGAAACGCATCACATGATCTTTTCGCTCAGCTAAAGAAGAAGAAGAAGACGAAGAAGAAGAAGAAGAAGAAGAAGAAGAAGAAGAAGAAGAACAAGAAGAAGAACAAGAAGAAGAGCAAGAACAAGAACAAGAACAAAAACAAGAACAACAACAGGAAGAAGAAGAAAAACCTGTGCGAAAATGTCAAGAAAACAATAAGCATAAATTAATAGTATTTATAACACATGTATAATTTATTTACATTGTTGTAACACTCTCAGAAAACATAAGTACATAATATGCACTATAAAAAAGGATAGGCCTACGGCAAAGTTCGCATGTACTCAACAAGATTTCAGTACATTATAAATGGCCTTTGATTAATTATCTTTCGGCTGATGAAAGAAAATCAGATGTCCTGGCATTATTAAAGTACACTATTATGTCTTGTCGGCGAATGGGTGATGACCTTTAAGTTGTGTTTTTCACTTGACTGCGTCTCACTGTTGTGTCGCGCCATGTGTATAGTTGTCCAATTAATTCCGTCAAGCCTGACCTAAATACATTTCCTTTGAAGGAGCCGTCTACACGGTTCAGCCCTTTGTCTTTTGACACGGTTAACTAAGTACAGGTCCATCGGATTTTGCCCAGATGGACACACTAGGAAAAAGATAAAAAGTCAAAGGTTTACTTTAACAATTTGCAACATGAGGCGATGGAACTTATTTTCTTGAAAGTGAAAAGGGTGCTCAGTCAGTGGCTTTCGTGTAGTTTGACTGTGAAAGGCTGAAATTTATTTTTATATA